GATAGCCTTACAAAACCCTAATAGTTTTTTAAAGTATCTCAAAAGTGAGCTTTACCTGGCTGATGTGCATGATGCATTCTGGCGGGTAGGCGTCGTACATTTGCAGAGCATGTGCTATGAGTTTCGGCGATGCGGCGGCAACGGTCACCTCACTAGCAGCTTTGAAGGCAACGCTGAATTCGCAGTCTTGAGAAAGTATGATCTTTCGTCGGGACATGATATACTGCGTGTGTGTCGGTGGGAATTCGTATTGAAGTCAGTTGTTCGTAAGGTGTCCAGGATACTGAAGGGAATATATTCTTGTCTGAGTAGCATATGAAACGCGCTCATCGCTATGGAGTGGATACTACCGGTGTGACGCTGACAACTCTTTCACAAAACAACACAGTGTCGCCGATCTACCGGAGAAGCCCGTACAAGTCAGGTTCGTTTATTTGTAAAACTTTGGCATACAGTACAAACCTGCCAGCGGGCAATAGACAAAAGGGTGTCTATAGAATATCTGGAATGAGTATGCCTGTTCATTTAATGAGAATACACAAGTTTACAAACCATTGAACATACCGCAGAGCACAAGTATACAACCAAAAGAGGGTGTGGATATGATAATAGGGCATCGAATATTGGGCCCACTTCGTCAATATCGGGTAAAGAGTGGCTGAAGAACGTCAGTACCCAAGAGAGCGCGAAGTGTGGCATATCTGTCAGGCCACACCTGCATGCGAGGGAATAGAGCAACATTGGAGACGTAAGTAGAGTTGGAAATTTAACTAGCGTTCCAGTTAAGTTTTGCTGATCTTCAATAGTTGTATATACGTTTATCAAAATTAGAAGCATTAAAAGCAGGAGAAAGGGGTCGTGTGATGGCGCGCGCGTCAGAGACTCGCCGACTAGCGTGTTATCAGCGTATGTTAACACATATTCAGCAGGACATACTCGAGAAAAAAATCATATAACTCGGGATCAGCGACGGATATGATGGGAAACATTGCGCTGAGATATGCCATAGCCTCGTTCATGTTGGCCGCCATGAAACTCCTGCAAAAAGCCGGATCAAAGTGGGATGTCAGCAGGACAACACGGCTCCAATGAGCACCGCTGTATGGAGTAGCCAAGCCATGCATTCACTGCCTCGAGATGAAGTAAACAAGAAGATGCGATGGTGCATATTCAAATATACAAAACGGTGGAACCCTCGAGATGAAGTAAACAAAAAGTGCGATGGTGCATATTCAAATATACAAAACAGTGGAACCCTCGAGATGAAGTAAACAAGAAGATGCGATGGTGCCTATTCAAATATACAAAGCGGTGGAACGCAGACTACTCACCGCAGATGAAATTGAGACAATCGCTCGCAGCTCGGCAACTGATCCTTTGTGGACAACACCTGAGCCAAAATACCGATTACATCGTGATAGCCCTACATACGGAACACAGCATACATGAGGTGAGCTTAGGATAGTCCACAACAGCCTAGAATGGTAGGACGACACTAAATAGAGGACGTCGGATACTTATTGCCAAGAGTAGTACAGTACCATGCCTAACAGCCAAATTCCTGGCCTCTTAGCTAATTTTTTTTTTAGCTGCTAGTAGAATCAATATTTTTAGCTATTGTGCAGAATAAATACAGTCGTGCCGGGCTCACCTTACACACACCTGATAGTAGTGCAGCTGCCTGTTTCGACTGATAAGTTTATTTATGAGAACACTCAATTCGTCTTGCATGCTCGTTCGGACTTCGCTGGTTATATCTAAATTAAATGATTGATTTAGTCGCACTCGCAGACCAGTTCGGAGCACATTTAATCCAAAGGCCAAAACTCACAAAACTACACATTTACGTGATTAATCAAACCTCCAGGGCAACATACCTGGAGGATACTCTCCATAAGACCGACGAATATCGAGTTCAATCTGCTCTTCATATCCGTGTTTGTCAGACCGCAGCATGGGCTCGTCTGGTATGAACGAACCTGCACCGGATATAACTGAATTGTTCATTTTGGGTATACACAACCTCTAACTTTAGTTCGTAGGGCTACCGAAGCTACCACACAAATCAGCTCAGAGTCAACATGCGCTCCTTAATTAATGGAAAGGGCACGAGGTAGAGAGCTGATATACCTTACTATCGTCTATACGTCTTTATACTTAA